AATTGCCAGCAGCAGCACAAGTACCGAATGCCGAAATCAAGAGCAGCGCAAACAAAAATATGCTGAGCATCTATAGAGGCAGAGCAAGAGAAGAAGAAGCATTGTTTCCTATTGCTGCTTCCACAAGAACTCAATCAGAGGCCGCAAATTAAAAGTGAATGCTTGAGAAGCCAACTGAAATCTTCAAAGAAACTTCTTCAAACTCCAAATTGCAACAAGCAAATAAATTAATTCATTTTATTCTACGCAAAGCTGAGCCAATAACAAAAACAGATTTTAAGCTAACTAAATTTGATATGAAAATTTAAGCATTTATATATTTAAAATAAAGCCTATTAAATTAATAAATACTTTATTTATAAATTTTAAATGATAATGATTTAAAATAAATAATAAAATTTATATTTATTTTTAAGCTCATGAAGTGGCATAGAAAAGTTTACTTCCTAGAACAGCAAAGACAAGTTGCTAGGAGACACACTCTAATATAACTTTAGAACTATTACAGGGTAACTCAGCGTCGTATCTATTAGCTGTTAAGGCGAAACTATTCTCTGCCCAGTTTTCCAGTTGCTTACGATGTTTACAATAAGGCACGTCCCTCAAGTCAATTGCAATGCTTTTTAGCTGCTCTCTCTCTCTCCCTCTCTCTCTGTCCCGCTCAATTGCTAATAGTCCCCTCGTTCGCTTCTAATTGCGCTTATTATGCGCAGACTTATCTCAAATGTCGTACGAAATTATATCGTAATTTCAGAGCAATTTCATGTCAACCATTTGGCCTTAGCCTAGTCTTCTCTATCCTTTTCCATTTCCATTTCCCTTTTTTCTACTTTTTATTTTGTTGTCAATCGGCAATTGAAAACTGTAGCTGGCCACAACACACACACACACAGCAGTTGTTGTTGTGTGTGGGCATGCTCATTGCATACTTTCGTGCTTGCCCTGAGTGTGTGTGTGTGTGTGTGGCTGTCACTGAGAAACTCATTTGATCCGAACATTGTCCATCTTTCATCCTCTGCACAATTATCAGTGGTCGCCACTGACTCGCGGACGCAGCACAGTGCAAACGTGCGCCCATCCAGGGTCGATTCAACGTTCACTTCAAACGGGACTCAACTCTAATTTCTACTACTGTGCGAACTGTGTATGTGCTTGGACGAGTGTTTTAATAACTGCAAATGTATTCCAATATTCAAATCTGACTTTGTTCTCTGTTGTCTGACCTCAAGACTTGTTTTAAGTAATCAATAAGAAAACACATGACATGACAACATAGATATAAAAGCTTGGGAATGAAATGAAACTCTTTTTGAGCAGTCATCAAGTTACTTCATGTCTCCAAGCTGAACTCAGATGTGTGAGCTACAGCGATCTATGTTGAGCTTCCTTTTCCAAAGTTCTTATATAATAAGTTTTGTCTGGTCACCTGGAACCAAGTGCTTTTTCGTATGTTCCTCACTCAATCAATACCATATTTAGGCCTGAGCTTTGAACTGCCTCCAGCCCACTTCTTTAGCGATCAATAGAATCGTCTACAGGTTTCAGCTTAGAAAAGTATTTGCTTCAGCCGCAAATATAATTGCCATCAGGAGGCACCTGGCTGCACCGCATTGCATTAGATCTAACCTCTCGAGCTGCCAAACCAAATTAAAGCAAACTTGAAAGAAAGCGGCAAAATGAGTGAACTGGAAATGCAAATATCCAGCGCGAAGCGAAAACAAAGAAAATAAATAACCCAAAGCCTCGTGGACATTTGTTGGCATTCTTTGAATTTATTTTTTCTGTTTTCTTTTTTGTTGTTTTTTTTTTTTTTTTTCTTTTTGGTTATTTCACGAGGCCACGCGGCGCCCCCCTTGTGGCAGACCAAGAACGCATTTCACTTTGTTTCTTTTCTTCCTTTTTAATCACTTGACCTTTTGCACGTCGTGTGCTTTTAATTTATTATTGTGTCCCAACCGCACTCACAAGTTTTCCTTTATTTTTCTCGATTTGTTTTGTATTTTTTTGGTTTTCTTGGGGGCAATGGAAAGAAAAATATAAATCTTGAAATTGACTTCTTTTCGGTGGGCGACCGCGAGTTTTGCTTTAGTTGTTTTAGTTGTTGTTGTTGTTACCTTTTTACAAACTGTCGCCTTTTTGAGTTGTCGCTGACAGCGTGAAAATCAAGATAAATGTGTTTGCTCCTCTTTACGCTTGTATTTCAATGTGTTTGCACTTGATATTGTGGTTGCTGTTTGTTATTGTTGCTGCTGCTGCTGCTGCTGCTGCACAGCTGTTGGTCGAAATTTCATTTTTATTTAAAAATTTATTTCATTTTGCAATCGAATTGTGCCACAGGCAGAGCCAACAGTAGCTGGAAGCAACTAATTCCGTTCTATTTAAAGCAATTTAAATCATCTCGATTGAGCTACATATGCTTAGAGCCAAGTCAAGCCAAGAGGCGTGGCAGACACCTTAAATTACTTATCAGCTTGAGCCTATCAGCTGATCAGCGTTTATCTATCAATCTGATTTGTAGATACGTATCGTAGTCCTCAGGACACTCCTATAGACTTCTATTGACTCCATGCGCAGCTTACAATAAGTGAGCCGCTTCCATTCTATGCCTTCGATAAACAATAGCAAACTTCAGTTATTTGGGCATGGAATTTAGAAATGTATGAATATAAATATATAAATATATAAATAAATAAATATATAAATATATAAATATATAAATATATAAATATATAAATATATAAATATATAAAGATATAAAGATATAAAGATATAAAGATATAAAGATATAAAGATATAAAGATATAAAGATATAAAGATATAAAGATATAAAGATATAAAGATATAAATATATAGTTACTATAAACTAAGTAGTATTAGGCCTTGAGGGAAGAATGAACTAAAGCAGAGCTTCAAAAGGTTGAACCAATGACAACGGCAAATGGTAATCTTCTACTCTTGTGAAGGGCATGCCAGGAACGAGGCTTGAGAGCGAGAGAAGCGCTTCAATCGCGTTGGCTTCTTATAAGAGGAGCTACGCAGAGACAAGAGCGTCAGTTGGCATATGGAAATAGAGAAGACAGCACAAAATTGTGCCAAAGAGAGTAAAGTCGTGTCTGTAGTGCCCACTGAGCATTCATCAGAATCACGATCATTCCCAACATATATAGACATGTTGGTTATATATTTGTTGTCATATTTCTTCACATTGAAATCCTCGAAGCAGTTGCCAATCCCTTCTTATGCTAACAATAAATATAAATAGTTATATGATGAGGCTATGCCAATGCTTAATCGAAGTGGTCTGCTTAGAGTGTTTCTTGATTTTTCGCTTAATTCAAAGAGTTTATTATATGAGAGAAAGCGGAACGAATATAAATCTCTCACAAGTCTCAATATATTGGGCCAACTGCCGCTCTCATATTAGACCAACAATGCCTGATAGTTATATGTTCCTTGCTCAACTCTGGTCTGCGCACACGAAATCTGTTTAATCGCAACACTAATCGCATACAAAGCCACAAAATGTATCACGTGCTTGACTCGATGTGTACTTAGAGTCAGCTACAAGTCTGACAAACTGACCAGCCCAACTGTGCTTAAGCGTTTAGATTCATGAGCAGACAAGCTCTGGCAGTGACTCGAGTGAATGAAGAAACTATTCAAATATCAAACATCAATTGAGATGAATGGAAATAGAACTGAGGCCAGCTCCTATGAGAACTTACATATTTGAGTAGTTTTACTTGATGGAACTTTGTTATAATGTATAATGCATACAGGGTATCTGGATGTCGTGCATTGCTGATATCAGTTGACAGCTGGCAGAGTGAATTTCATGAATAAATCTAGTGACTGAGTGCTGACTGCTCTGCACTTTTCTGCTCTGTTTGGCTTCACAGACACGGCTTAAAAGCTTAGCGTATAAAACTCAAATTATGCGCTGCGCGCTGTCGTGCTCGTGGCTATGTGTGTGCGTGCGTGTGTGTGGGTAGTTGTGTTTACGAGTGAGTGACTTGATGGTGTCTGCGACTCCTGTTGCTTAGAGCAATTAAACGATAAGCGTAATCTACGGCGTCAATTTGCCAATTGTCGCACTCACAAATGCGTGAAGGCGTCAGCGCGGCATTTCAATTAGCCACCAATTCCCAGGAACACTCAGCAGCAACAACAGCAACAACAACATCGATTCCGCCAGTTGATATGTATATACATAGATATGTATATCCTTACACTAAGCCCATACCCAGCTGAGGCTTTTGCATCACTCGCGTGAGTGCGTGTGTGTGTGGCCTTTGCGCATATTTCATGAACTTGAGAACGAGAACAAACACAGCGCACAAATGCCGTGAGTGTTCAAGGCGATGGTGCAATGCTGGGCTGGGGCTGGGACTGGCGCTGACTCTGGGGTTATGTGGGGCGCTGAGTGCGGCCAATTAGCACAAAGGCATTTGACTAAGTACACAAAAGTGTTTCCGTTTAGGCAGCACGTCAAGTGACAATTAGCTAGGCCGCAGTCAGCCCCTGATTCGGTTTACATTTTCGAGAGGCCTCGAGGCCGTCGCCGCATCGCGACTTCGTATGCACATAAATAGCTCGCTCTGCACTCTCTCTCTCTCTCTCTCTCTCTCTCTCTCTCTCCCTGTCTCCCTCTCTTTTTGATGCACAAATATATACATTTTATAGATTGCTAATCGGCGCAGAGCCAAAACAAGTTATGAGCACTAAGAAAAAAGTTCTCTGAGGAGCTCGACTTAGAGACAGCTGAATTGATTTACATTTAGCTGAAGAGCTATCATATCATGTGAAGAGCACATGGATTTTCTATTTTCTATTGCTCAACATTTCCCAATTCTACAAGAGAAACAACTAATCTAAGGGGGTCTTGCTCTACTCAATGGCTGTCAATGACAGTTTCGATGCATGTGGAAAGTTAACTAAGTTGAGCCGTTTGATACATCGTTTTGATGGGATTCCCGTTTCTGTTTCATTTTACTTTGCAGCGTTCTATCGCGTAAGCTAAAGCCACATCTGGTCGCCGACACCGTCAAGCAGTACATAAGTCGGGCGCAACGAACAACAAAGAAGGGTTCTCAAGAGCAACAAAATAACATGGAGTTTTTACGTGGTGTCTATGCGTTTATGCAAGTGAGTAGATCATCGGTGAGTGTCAACTGTTTCCACTTTAACAAATGTACTAATCCATATCAACTTGCTCTATTTTTATTCCGGCAAAAACATTTTGGTTCTTGTTTACCTACTTTTCTTTTCTTTGTTACCAAACATAAAACAAATGTCGATTCGATACCATTCGAGAAAAATCCAAAAACTCAAAAAACAAAACCAAAAAAATATACGAAAAAAAAAAATAAATAAATATGTAACTTCTATCTACTACTACCTTACTTATTACTACTTCTACTACTACCTTTGTAAACATAACAAAAAAAAAAACAAAAACCGAAAATGAAAACAAACAAAAATACAATACAATTTATGAAATACGAAAAAAAACAAAACCAAAATATAATATATAAAAACATAAATATTGGTTACGTCAATGTACATAACATATGTTACACAATATGACAACTTCATGTCTCTTGTCTGCCATCCATATAATTGTTAACTTGAGCAAAAGACAAATCAAACTAAACAAAACCATCAAATAACATCAAATCAAAAATACATATATACATATATACATCTATTTATATATATATATATACATGTGTGAATATATAACGACAACTGAAAGCGAAAATCATCCGACTCTGAGCCAGCGTCAGCATCGAGCCAAAAGACAACGACGGCAAGCCGAGCTTCCACGCACAGCAGTCGAATCGATAAGCGATAACAGAGCAATATTGTTAGGCAATCAATACATATACATATGCCCCCAACTGAAATAGGTATAATCCATGTAAACCAATAACGAAATAACACAATTAAAAAACAGCTAAAAAGCAAACAAATCAATCACAAGGCGAGCGAGCGACCATCAGACGGAAGCTAAGCTACAATTTGCATGTCTCTCATACCAAGTTACCATGACGAACTGCCCGTCCACCGGGCAGACCCATTATCGACTCTCATATCAGCATCATACGTGGTCTGGTAGGGCTCCTCTTATCATTCAAAACATTGCCAACCGAAATGTGATTCTAACTAGCGAGCGAGTGAGCGTGCGTCTATCGAGCATTAGAAGGCGACATTTTTTAAGTTTCAAATAATCCAAATAAGCAAATCAAAAATTAATCAAATATTTGAACAATCAACAAAGAGAAAAATATATATATATGTATCTGCACACACACATATATATATATATAAAACACAAAAGAATTTAAAACGACAAAATGCAACAAAAGACAGACATAAAAATATATAAAAAAAAAAAAAAACAAAACCAAAAATGAAAAGAAAGAACAACAACAAAAACAATCGCAAAGGACGCGTAAGGCCCGACAGCGGGCTGACCATTTTCATAGAGCAACCACTTGCCCATTGCCCACTTACCCATTTGCCCATTGTCCATTTGCCCATTGTCCATTGTCCATTGTCCATAACCATAGTCCATTTAATAACCATTGTCCATTTGCCATTCCATTCAGATTCAGATTCAGATTCAGACTCAGGTCCATATTTCTCTCTCTATATATATATATCTCTCTCTCTTGCTCTCTCTCTCCTCTCTCTCTCTCTCTGTCTGTTTATATAAGTGTCTCTTATGTAATACATAAACATATACAAACATACGTACAGTCATCTGTATGTCCTTATGCCTAATACAACAACAAATACGAATAGACAACAAATCATTCGTCTAGATTTGGTTCTTCTCTTAATAGTTTTTGGTTTTTCGTTTTTCTTTGCTTCTCATTATTGTAATTGGCTGTATTTTGATTGACAATGCTTAGCGGGCCCCCGATCCGTGTATATTTTCATATGTTTCCCCCAACTTGCCAAATGAAAAAACGAAATTTGTTTTTTTGTAGCTTACGATTTAGTCGATGTGTTTAATTTTTAATTTGTTGTCTGTGTCTACATAAATATTTTTGTATGTATTGTTGTCTATGTGTGTGCGTGTGTGCGTGAGTGTGTCTATGTTTGTATTGTGCCGTATTGTTAGGCTTACTTTAATTTATATCGATGTTACACGCAAGCGAATGCGCATATTACGTATACGCAGAGTTGGGCACAGATAATTTAGTCCCGTTACCGCATTGAATTCTAAAACTACTTTGTATTATTTCTCAAAAACCAACAACTACAACAACAACAACAAAACCAAAACAAACAAAAAACGACGATGATAATAAAAATGACATGAAGATCGACTACAGCAACAGCAGCGGCGGCTATGAGACGACCCTCAGCCTGGTCAACGACACGAATGAGGCAACCACGACAGCGATGCGCGATGCTGAGCAAGCGACAAGCTTAAAGTCAGCAGCAGCCACCAGAGAGCCGCTAGCCGGAGTAGCAAAAGCTGACGAAGAAGCAGACGGCGCCGCTGCAAGTTCAAGACTTAGGCTGGCCATCAAGCCCAGATCTGCACCAAAGCGGAGCCAGCGCCAGAGTCAGAGTCAGAATGAGACACTGTTGCCACAGAATCTAGTGATGCTGAAGACAGCCGTAGCCACAAGGACAACGACAGACGACAACGACAACGACAGTTGAGAGTGCGGCGAAATGTGGATGTGGCAAGTGTTGCCAAGAGCCACACGAACAGCAGCGGAAGCAACAACCGACAAATTGCTAAGAAACAATGATCAAACGAAAAAGATAATGCTAACCATGTGATAACTCGTATGTATGTGTGTATATAGGCCATATACTTATGTATAACAATTATAAACTAATGCGTGACGTGACGTGACGCGACAGCAACAAAAATATTCGAAAACAGGGCAACAACACGGTGGCCTTAGCTTGTGCAACTGAATCGAACTTGTAAATCAAAAATCGAAAGACGATTACCGATAAGCGATATATCGATAACAATAATCAAAGCAACATAATCAAAGCGTGTCATCAACAATAAACGAAAGCATATATAACATTCCAAATATATATATATCTATATATATATATATTTCGACAACAGCCAGCAGCAATTCAAAAGTCTTCATCGAGCAGTTCAACAACAGTAACAGTAACAGAACACTAACGTTAACAGTTACAGCAGCAATTAACATTAACTGTAACTGTAAACTGCCATTAAGATACGCTCAGGCTACGACTGATCTGATTTGCGTGCGTGCGTCGTGCGTGTGTGTGCGTGCCACGCCCACCACCGGCCACCGCGTGCACTCAGAGGGTTGGTTGGTGCCCGCGGTGCCATCCCCCCAAACGCAAAGTGATAGAAAATGGTAATTACAAACAAAACAATTCTAGTCATTAACTATCCAAAAAAAAAAAAACCAAAACCAAAAAAGAAACAGAAAACAGAAAAGAAACTCCAAAAGAAAGTCCTCAAGCTCTACTCTACTGTACCCAGCTATCCAAAATTCATCACTGTCTCTGTTTCCCCCATCTCTCTCTCTCTCTATCTCTCCCCACTTTTTCTATCTGTTAATCACACTCTTCAAAAGCGTTTCCTTTCATATTACCCATTGCATATATTGTAGTTCAGATAATTATTAGATGCAAATTTTTTCCAAAGATTTATCGTTTGTTCATATTATGCTTTAGCTATCGATTAGCCGCACCGGCGCCATCTAGCGGCTAATGTTTGTGTTACATTTACGCATTGAGTTTTTCAGTTTCATTTGGCTTTGTCGCTTTTCTCTTTCTCTCTCTCTCTCTCTCTCATTTAGTTTCTTGCGTTTTGAGTCGGAAAACATGAGCGCGATCAACCCAAACAAAGAAATGACAAAAAAAAAGAGAAAAAAAACAGTAAACATAACGAAAACAATTTAGGGGATGCAAATTGATTGCAATTGAAGCGTAATCGATAATCGATATTTTATCAAATGCAACGTTTTACGTGAGAATTCAACGGTAACTGATTGCTCGCCTGCCACAATTCAAAAAAAAAAGAAATCATATGCTGCTGTCTACGAAAACTAAATAAATAAATAAAAACAAATTGAGAAAACAACAACAGAAATTAATAACAAATAAAACATAAACTTAAATTTGATAAATAATATAAAAAAATATATGAAAATAATCAAATTTAATACAATCTAATTATAAGTCATGAGAGCAAGCCAAACAAGTTTAAGTCAACCTTTCAAACCTTTCTCTCTCTCTCTCTCTCTCTTATGATGATATGTAACTGTATTACATATGCGATATACACACCCATACCCACACACACACACACAGACAGACACAGTCAAAGAGCTATGTAAAAGTATAGTAAAGTGTTGCGAATGCTTTGTCATGAATGATAATAACTGAACAATCAGATGATATAATGAGAATTAATACCAATATATATTATATGACCGATGGCCGCAAGCCATCTCAGCGGAATTTCTTTTCATTTAATTTCTGTTACACATATATATAAATATATACTATAATTTTCCACATATATCAATAACGATGACTATTTATGCGTATCAACTAAGTGAAAAAGTACAGCTTACAATTTACCTTATAACAATATTGAAAGCAAAACGAAACAAAAATAACTGCGTTAAGTAGTTCCTGCAAGTCCAAGCATCGATTCATCAACAGCATTTTAGCCCCTAAATAGCTCTATTGCCGCGTATATGTTGTTCTGTTTAAATAATTTGCCAAAAAAAAGACCGAAAAAACACAAATCGAACTCTGTCGCAACTTTGAGACAAGAAACACATGAAAGCAACTTGAAATTTAGCAAACTCTAAACGGGAACATTGCCCCCTCTCTCTCCGTCTGTCTCTCTCTCTCTCTCTCTATCTCTATCTATGTATCTATCTATCGCTCTGTACCCATTTTATTTCCTGCAAGCCATAAAATGTTTTATGATTTTAATATTATTCATAGTCTTATTCGAAGTTCGTTTTATGATTTCGATTCTGATGGGTTTCAACTTCAAAAAAAAAAAAAAAAGCTTCACACTGATCCACCCTTCCTACGCCAAAGCTCCACATAAACCCACTAGCACACAGCCAGCAGTTCGTTGAGAGGACTTGAAGTGCAGAACTAGTTGGATAAGTCCAGAA